CAATTCAGGGTGAAAAAAAGTCATTCCAATGTCAACTGAATTTGGGTATCCTAATGTTTTTAAAATAACTTGAATGTTATTGTTATTTACATTTTGTCATCATAGAAGTTTGCAGTCTTGGAGTACTCTCCTTGCTTGTTGACTTAATTGACATTGGATTAATTCATGAAGATTTTTAAATATACAATCATTACCAAAAAAGATCTAGAGAAATCGAACTGAGGTTCTTACTTCTTTTTCTTCTTCCCTCCCTTCCCCTTCTTTTTCTTAGGCATGTTGGGAAGCTAACTACCGAGGCACTTGACTGTGGAGATCACTGTTTGTCAATCCATCTGAAAATTAGTTATGGTTAGTGTAGACAACGTTAAGCATAAAATAACTGAATCCTTTATTGACGTATAGACAGCACAACTTGTAACATTTCCGTTAGCAAAATAGACACCGTGGCACGTTTGTTCTTTGTGTATTTTGGGCTTTGTACAAATCTAAAAACATGTAAAAATGACGTAAGTATGCAATAAATGATAAACTCAGAATTAGAAACAAACTACAGTATATGCGTTACAGTAAAAAAAAAACATTTTACAAGTACTCATATTATATGCTATCTACGGTTCCAAACACAGGTGACCAACTGGTATGCTTGCTTTAATTGTCTACTAAATTCTCTCGAGATTTCTATACCATGCATACCCAAAACCACGTGACTGATTAATGTTCACCTAACTAAGAGTGACCACAGGGTCATGTGACTTGGTGCACTAACAGTTAGTTAAATTAGTTATAGAATAATTAAAAATGGAATTAAAATAAATGATATGCTACCTGTATTTTTGAAACAGAATGCTTCAGTAAAATAATGTACTGAATAACCTCCAGAACACCATGTTAACACCACCTACATTCCACTTATAAGAGTAGCCTTTTCTATTCTGATATTTTGTGATGGACAATGAGAGTTAATGGACCTGCATGTACATGTATCTGTAGGTCTTCTGAGCTCTTGATACTTCATTTAAAGGCCCTCTCAAGCATCACAAATTTCACATTTGATGTGATATATATATCACTGCTAAAGACAGCCTGTTTACAAAAGACTTTTGGACCTAACTACATGTAGCTGCTGTCCTACAGTGTCAGTCGGCTTTAAAAATGCCCAGTCCTCTCATAGTTACAGTATGAGGACAACTGATAACAGCTGATTAACATCATTGATGTGGACAACATATCTTGCAATAGACTAGTACCATTCACTTTCAGTGTGGTCACGGCTACAGTAGCTTCAACTAGTCTCCCAAATGCACATTTTCAGGGAAAAAATATTAATTTTAATAAATCTGGATAGATTAACTTACTAAAGTCTAGCTGAAATACAGACTACATCTGTGATCTACATCTTCGACTACGACTAATAATCTATCAGTAATCAATTTGATGGGCTTGTAAAAGGTAGAGTGACTTACTTCTTACACAAAATACGCGGAGTCTAATTCTGATGAACAAGCTCGTCTAACTGTACAATAACCAAAATTGTACTCACTTTTGCATGTGCTTGATCTTGATTCTCCATCTTGTTTATTGTCTCCAAGACACGTGACGCGACAAACACAAAGTTCGATAACAATTATTTAATTAAAATGTTTGGTTCTTAGACTATAAACCCTCAAATTATAGAAGATGGTATATTCATGCATAGTTGGAGTTTTAAGCTGAAATATTCTTGTTTTTATGGAATTAAATCTAATTTCCTTTCCTTGTTTAGAGATTGTCTTTTCTTGAAGTTCCTTCCACCTATTTTAGTGTCCAAATGAGCAAAAAACTAGTAGCGATACTGCGAACAGAGTTGGCGTGTTCATGGTGAAAGGCATTGTTAATTAAATCGGAAAGATGCCTCCCGATGTGAGCGTTAGTGTTATCGCCTACTGTAAGCTGGTGCTTCACTTGTCAAAATACCCACACTGTGCTGTGAACGGAGTTCTTCTGGCAAAGAAACCCACAAAGGAAAATAGGAGTTTACATTTTGTGGATGTCATTCCATTATTTCATTTAGCACTAGAATTAACTCCTATGTTAGAAGTTGCAATGACACAGGTACGGCGGGGTGTCTCTTGGATGTTGATGGCTTTTATTTGTTAAAACTTACCTTGATTCATGTAGTTGTTAATTGCTGTCTTTGTTGAATAAGGACAAAAAAGTTAAGTACTAGTAGTTGTTCAAAAGCAAGTCCTGATTATAATTCCAGAAAGACTGCAAATGTTATAGTAGAGGTGATTTAATACTTGTCCTATATACCCAATTTGTATGTGAAATTTACAAATTTAATTGTTATTATTTTCTTTATTGGAACCCAACTGTAGCAAAAAAATAAGCTATAACCAGCAACAACAATCTCTCCAATATTATATCATAATTTACATTTGCTTAATTTATAGATTGAATCCTACTGTAGTCAACAAGGGCTTATAATAGCAGGTTACTATCATGCGGGGGCTGTCATAGGTGATCCTAGGTAGGAGAATTAAATGGTCATTTTCATTCAATTTAAATCTTGCAGTGGGTCAGTCTCAAAAATTGCATTTCTTTCCAATTTTACAGCATTCTATATATGTAGGGACTTAATTAATTGTTAAGTCTTATTGACAGAGCTTAATATTGTTAATGAATTTAAATCTTTAAGGAATTGAATATTTGTACATATCAGATCTTGATTCTTTTCTGAACAACGTTTTTAATTAAAACCAACAACTTTGTTTTTTATCACATTAATTTTTCTAAATGATGTTTTTTAGATTAGACAGATTTGCTCAGAATTATGTACTTATTTCAACCCCAAATATTATACAGAAACATCATCATTATAATGAGGAAAACAGACTACTAGTAAAATGTTACAATAATTCACTATTTGCTCACTGTGTATGGGATATAATATATTTAATTTTAAAATAATTTTCAGTCCAACTTTTATAGCCAAAAGGATAGCAGACAAAATATGTGAAAACCTTAGTGATGGGTGCTTGTTTATGGTAAGTATGCAGATGGTAGTGTCTTTTTTAAATTTAAGAAAACTGAAATTAAGAGACATGCCGGAAATTTTGCTAGAAAGACATATACCCTTGGTGGCTTGTACTTACTTGATAAAATATATGTAGACTACTAGTAGAATATAATTCTGTATTGTAAAATATGTCTTTTAAAAAT